TAGATGAGGCCAAAATTGAACTTTGTGGCCTAAAAGCAAAATGCTATGTGTGGTGGAAAACTAACACTGCACTACAAGGTGGTGGCAGCATCATGATGTGGGGATGCTTTTCTTCAGCAGGGACAGGGAAGCTGGTCAGAGTTGATGGGAAGATGGATGGAGCCAAATACAGGGCAATCTTAGAAGAAAACCTGTTAGAGACTGGGGCGGAGGTTCACCTTCCAGCAGGACGACGACCCTAAACATACAGCCAGAGCTACAATGGCATGGTTTAGATCAAAGCATATTCATGTGTTAGAATGGCCCAGTCAAAGTTCAGACCTAAATCCAATTGAGAATCTGTGCAATACTTTAAAATTTCTGTTCATAGACGCTCTCCATCCAATCTGACAGAGCTTGAGCTGTTTTGTAAAGAAGAATGGGCAAAAATTTCACTCTCTAGATGTGCAAAGCTTGGAGAGACATCCCCAAAAAGACTTGCAGCTGTAATTGCAGCGAAAGGTGGTCCTACAAAGTATTGACTCCGGGGGGGCTGAATACAAATGCACACCATACTCTTCAGATATTTATTTGTAAAACATTTTGAAAAAACCATTTTTCATTTTCCTTCCACTTCACAATGATGTGCCACTTTGTGTTGGTCTATCACATAAAAGCCCAATAAAACACATTTACGTCTTTGGTTGTAACATGAGAAAATGTGGAAAATTTCAAGGGGTATGATGAATACCTTATCAAGGCACTGTATGTTATTGTGCTCAATGTGTTTAAACCAAAAAAAAAAAAACGAGGGTTTAATATTACTTTTAAGGGGGGGATTCCTTATCCATAGTTGAATGGAATGCCATTTAGGTATGTGTTTAGAAGTGTAGGAGTGTGTAGAGGATTAAAATGATGATGTAGGCCAGGGAAGGTCTGACATTTACCCATAGACAACACAGTCCTCTTGTGAAATCAACACCATTGTTTAAGGATTATCCAATGTTTGTAGGACTTTGAAGTTGTGAATTCCAAGGACTCCTAATCTTGAGATGTGATAGTGGATACAAACCAGTGACAGTGTGAACTGCCTTCTATACATTACTTACAATGCCATATAAGAGAGAGAGTGGGTTTATTAGGTAACAATAGAACAGATAACCTCCAATGCAACCTCAGAGCTGATAAAAGCAATGGCCTATCCCTTTCCTCTATCGGCTATTGAAGTTCTGATTACAGCTCATCTCACAATGCAATATATAATAATCAGGCTGATCTTTATATGACCTGGTCATGCACATTTACAGAGGAACATGAATATAAAACCATAAAAAATGGGCTTGTATTAATCTATTAATTATATAAAAACTTTATTTGCCAAACTTATTTAGCTATGGTTTCCCACACATGCTCTTAACCGCACTCTCAACTGATATTGGCAATATATGTTATTTTCCACTGCCATTTTATTTCTGGACGTAAAGATGGCCCATCGATGACGCAAGCTAGAGTGTTTTATTTTCTTAGCCTATATGATGGATAGCGAACCTATGGCACGCTAGTCCTCTATGTCAGCTAGCCAAGTCGCCCCAGTATTAAGCCCCAGCAATCCGAGCACCAGATAACAGCGCACATAGGGATGTATGCTTGGAAAGGAGTAGCGGCACCATGCGCGATGACGTCTTAAGCCATTACTCGCGATTAGCCGCGTACTTGTTTGAGCATCTCAGCATGTGCATGGCCGGTCATCGCGCTGCCAAGGATATATATTTATTTGCTTGGACTGACTGTGATTTTAGCAGAAGCCCCACAAGGTATATGAAATGCACTCAGAATGCCTTTTTCAAAGCAGGTCAAAAGGCTGGTGGTCAGTGGAACATTGACCTTTTGTGCTGGTGGGTCATTGTGAACTTTGCCCCTCTGTGCTGGTGGTCAGTGGAACTTTGCCCCCCCTCTGTGCTGGTGGTCAGTGGAACTTTGCCCCCTTGTGCTGGTGGTCAGTGGAACTTTGCCCTTTGTTTGCTGGTGGTCAGTGGAACTTTGCCCCTGTGTGCTAGGGATCAGTGGAACTCTGCCCCCTTGTGCTGGTGATGGTCAGTGGAACTTTGCCCCCTTGTGGTGTGGTCAGTGGAACTTTGCCCCTCTGTGCTGATGGTCAGTGGAACTTTGTCCTTCTGTGCTGGTGATCAGTGGAACTGTGCCCCCTTCTGCTGGTTGTCAATGGATATTGCTCCTTTGTGCTGGTGGTCAGTGGACCATTGCCCTTCTTTGCTGGTGATCAGTGGAACTTTGCCCCCTTGTGCTGGTTTGTCAATGGATATTGCTCCTTTGTGCTGGTGGATAGTGGACCATTGCACCTCTGTGCTGGCAGTCAGTGGACCATTGCACCTCTGTGCTGGTAATCAGGTGGAACTTTGACACTTGTGCTGGTGGTCAGTGGAACGTTGCCCCTCTGTGCTGGTGGTCAGTGGAATTTGCTCCCTTGTGCTGGTGGTCAGTGGAACTTTGCCCCCTAGATACAACAGTGCAGTATGTTTTTTTATTTAGTTATGGTACTTATATAGTGCTATCAATTTATAGGCAGCACTTTACATATATATATTGTACATTCACAACAGTCCCTAACCCTCAAGGGGTGTACAATCTAAGGTCCCTAACTTACATTCATACATACACATACTAGGGCCAATTCAGACAGGATCTCTAATTTACTATCAGCATGTCTTTGGAGTGTGGGAGGAAGCTGGAGTTCCTGGAGGAAACCCACACAGGCGCAGGTGAACATGTAAACTCCAGGCAGTGGTGCTGTGGTTGGGATTTTGAGCCAATGACCGAGTGCTGCCAGGCAGAGGCGCTAACCACTTAGCCACTGTGCAGCCCCAGCATGTCTTCGTTTTTCCACACTTCACTGGATGACACCGCATTTCAAAGCACAGCAACACAATGTACCATGCTGCTGTGCAATAACGTGAATGAAGGGTCACAAAGGCTTGGTTCACACAAGCTGACTCCAAAGTTGCGCAATTTACAGTGCAACTTTGGAGTCTGACTTTGATGCGACTTTGACGCTGCTCTGGCACTAAAGCCGTATAAAAATCTGGGATCAAAGTAGTGCAGGAACCTTTTCTGTAGTCGCAGCGACTTCAGTAGCATCAATTGGAACAGCTCTCAATAGAGATACATGACATTTCACATGTCCTGCGACTTTTCGTTTTTTGGTGCGTTTTCCAAAAGCGCTTCGAATATTCAGCATGCAGAACTTTTGGTGCATTGCAGTTTGGCTGCAGCATGGCAGTATGAAAGAGCTCTAAAAAAAAAATTGCCCTTGGATAAAATGTATTTTGTCTGTACACAGGCCAATTATGATCAAACAGTGGTAAGGCTTGGTTCAGATGTACGTATGCATGCTGCATTCTGTGTGTAGGGAAGCCCTTTTATTTCAATGGGATGGTCCTACCTGCAAGAAGTGCAGGGAAAAAAGTCACTTTTTTAAAAATCATGCCGCATCAAACAGCATGGGGGGCATTTGTTGATGCAACCATTAGTAATTAAAGAGCAGCGCATTTCTGTCTGTGTCAATTTTGCATGTGCTCCTGGCATGCATAGATCTGAAGCCTAATTTGTTTATAACTGGTGCCAGGGCAGCAAGTGAGCACCCCCACCCCTCCTGAACCATGCCAGGTCATATGCCCTCAACATGGGGGAGGTGCTTTGGGGCAGGGGGCTTCCCCCCAAAGCACCTTGCCTACCTTGTTCTGCACCTTGGCGTAGTGGTTAGCACATATGCCTTGCAGTAAATGTGTCATGGGTTCAATTCCTGACCAATGGCACCTCCTGCATGGAGTTTGCATGTTCTCCCTGTGCTTACATGAGTTTCCTCTGGGTGCTCCAGTTTCCTCCCACACTCCAAAGACATGCTGGTAGCAGGGCCAGACTGACAACTCATGGGGCCCCCAGGCAATAGGGGATCATGGGGCCCCTGTGTCCTTGCCCAAACTCAAAAAAGCCTATGAAAAAGGTACCAGGGGCATCTCATGGGGCCCCCTACTGACCCTGGACCCTCAGACAGTGCCCGAGTTTCCAAATGGTCAGTCTGCCCCTGCTGGCAGGTTAATTGGCTCTAAAATTGTCTTAGTTTCATCCCTGGCCATGCGGGATTTCCTCCATGTTGGGGAAAGAACTGGCAACCTACCCTGTAAAATTAATTGCTAAGAGAATTTATGGAAACAGTCGCTTACGAGTGACAGTCCATGCAATCGCCAAGGGTCGGATATGACTGAATGGATAGATAGATATATCTCCCCCTGCAATTGTTTTCTGCTCAGATTCATAAATTGAAAAAATGATCCGCAATAGCCACAAGCAGTCACCTTGAAATTTTTACTTTATATACTAAAAAACATTTTGGCAGAAGAATTTGTACAGAAGGTGTGTCACCTAGTTGGGCCCCTGACTCACATCCTGGGTCGTGTTTGGAAAACACAAAAAATGCAAGAACAGCATTAGTTATTGTGAAATGATCCTTTATTTGTTATTTCCAAATTCACTTTTTAAAAAAGGTTTTATAAAGCTATTTTCTTTTCTAGCCCGTCTTATTTGATTACATTTATCTTTATCTTCTGAATAGACTTTGGATAATCCCAAGACAAAAGGGTTAATTGCAAACAGAGCGACTTTATCTTCACAACATAATCGGAGGAAGTTTCTCCTATAGTTCAGTGTTTTCCCCCCTCCCTCTCCACCTGAGATTCAATGGACTCTTTTGTCTAAACTTTAGGAGGAAAAAAAAAATGCAGTGTTTGTTTAGTGTAAAAAGTAATTTCGAGGATAGGGGGATCTTTCCAGCAGACCAATGAGAAATGTCTCTTGTTGCTTGGCATGAGTAGAAGAAGCCGGTGAAATTCCATCAGGCTTTCTGGCACCACCCAGTTTGTGAAGAATAAAAGGAGGCTGGAGGAGAGAGAACAGTTACACTCCTGTGATCTGCATCTCTAAGTCTGTTGAAGCCAGCTACTGCTACCATGTCCCAGAGCATCCGCCAGACCACCATCACCAGCTCCTACCGAGGTGTAGGTAGTGGCATCGGTGGTGGAGCAGGGAGGGTCTCGTTCAAGGCTCCAAGTGTCCATGGTGGCTATGGAGGGCAGGGTGTTTCCGTGTCTTCTGCCCGCTTGGTCTCCTCAGGATATGGTGGTGGTCTTGGCAGCAGTTTAGGTGGCGGCTATGGCTCTGGTGGCAGCTATGGCTTTGGTGGCAGCTATGGCTCTGGTGGCGGGTATGGAAGCAACTTCAGTGTCAGCGTGTCAGGGGATGGCTTGCTGACTGGCAATGAGAAGGAGACCATGCAGAACCTGAACGACCGTCTTGCCAGCTACCTAGACAAGGTGCGTTCCTTGGAACAAGCCAACTCAGAACTGGAGGTGAAGATCCGGGAGTGGTATGAAAAGCAAGGACCCAGCCCAACCCGAGACTACAGCCACTACTTCAAGGTCATTGAGGACCTCAGAGATAAGGTGAGCTGAAGCCAATCGTTTTTTTTTTCATCGTAACATATGGTACACTTTTTGGAAGATTTACTAAAACTGGAGCGTGCAAACTCTGGTGCAGCTCTGCATAGAAACCAATCAGCTTCCAGGTTTTATTGACAAAGCATAACTGAAAAAGCTGAAGTTAGAAGCTGATTGGCTATCATGCACAGCTACACTAGATTTTGAATGCTCCAGCTTTAGTAAATCTCCCCATTAAATATAAAAATGATCTAATGAAATTAGTTTTACATGAGAGGTTAAAAACTCTTCTAGATAAAAAGGTAATTTTGCAATAGTCTACATTTCTGATAAGTTTTTTTGCTATATCAAAGAACAGCTAACTTACTAACTGTTGTTATTCACCTAATCCTAACTTTCTACATTTCTGCTGGGAGCTCCATCCCTGCATCTACTACTCTCTACATTCACTATGTTCTACCTATTGTATAATAGCTCTTGTACCTAACCAGGGGCGGACTGACAACTCATGGGCAATAGGGGATCATGGGGCCCCTGTGTCTTTGCCCAAACTCAAAAAAGACTATGAAAAAGGTACCAGGGGCATCTTATGGGGCCCCTCACTGACCCCTGGCCCTCGGGCAGTGCCCGAGTTTCCAAATTGTCAGTCCGCCCCTGTACCTAACATATTTCACAAAAGTTGATTATTAACATGAACAGATGTGCCTAGGAACGTAACATGTAACAGGATGTAATATACTGAATTATATATTATTAAACTGTCATATGATAACAGTCCAATAAAACATTGATAAGTCAGGTGAGTAAAAAAGCTTGCAGTCCAGTAGGCATTATGGAACTACGTGTCTCAGAATCCACTACCAGTGGCAGGTTGGCAGTGCATACTGGCAACTTGACTGTTTCAGAACTGGTGGCTCAATTCAAGATGTCTATTAGGATAGTTCAAATTGGCTGACTAACAACTACAAAGACTTTATTAAATAATAAGAGTTAAAAAAAGCTAAGAATAAAACAAATGTTGCATTCTATGTTTCCATAGGAGAGATTTGCAGGTAATTTATACCTGCTCAGTACCAGAAAGGTTAAGGAAGGGACAAGAAAACTAGAAAAACAGGTTTAATCCTACAAAGTAGCAGCAACAGGTTACACTCTTCTAGGATGATCTTCCTGAACCATATATAACCATTAGGGATAGATCCCAGCTTTCTCATATGGGAAAGATGGATACGTTTTAATCCAAAGTATGCAGACAAAAGGGCACACCTCCACCACACCTTAAGTTCCACGGACCATGAAGACTTCACACGCAAAAATGATTGTCTAAGCCAGCAATGTTTTTTTTTTTTTCAACCGCTTCTTTCTATTTACACTAGTGGTTGAAACCAATGGATCTAATCACTGGGGGTGGTTAAAATTGTTTAGTGCAATATATAATAATGAAAAAAGTGTAGAAGTGGCAAGATGGATTTTGTTTTAAAAGAGGGCCATTTGGAAGCTATGCCGAATGCAGTATTGCCCTGTTATTGAGTTGAGGTTATATTACCTTTGCTGGGAGTCTTTCCAATGTACTAGTATTTTTCCAATCAACCCATAATTTTAAGCACTGAGACCTACTTGTCTAAAAATTGGATATGGGTTTCAAATGATTTTTCCAGCCAGTTTATAAGTTAAATATTGAACAACACTCATTGGTGTATATCAGCCATTCTTAACCAGGGTTCTGTGGAACCTTAGGGTTCCTCAAGAGGTTACCAGGGGTTCCTTGGGTTTTTGCTGGTTGACCTCTAATTTGATGGTGCCTGTATAGTTTCAGGGCCAACACCCCACTTGAGCAGCATGCCATCAATTAACTATTTTAGCTGTCTGTAAGGGTGGCATTGTTCCCATTTACCACTAACATGTAAGGGGGGGGGGGGGGGGGGGGGCATTCTTCTTACTGACCACCAATGTAAGGGCAGCATTCTTCCTACCGACCACCAATGTAAGGGTTTTCTTAGGCAATGGACCATAAAGAATTTATTTTAGCAGGGGTTTCTCGAGACTTCAGAATTATTTTAGGGGTTCCTTTGAGGAAAAAAGGTTGAGAAAGCCTGGTGTACATGACACATTTATTGTGTGATTACATTTACTGCTATCTTTGTGAGCTCTCTTCTTTGTTTAGCTTGCATGCTAAATGTGCTCACCTAACCATTATGTGCCCTAGTCAAGCTTCTGGATCATCATTCGCTATACAGTATTATTATATAAGTATATACAAGCCAGAAGTCACCATAATTTCTTATAGTACATAGACCAGAACGAGCAGGCTAATATCCCTCATGACTTAGTATGGTCATCCTAACAGATGTCACAATTATATAAGATCATTGAAAACAAAGTACCTGCATATACAGTTAACAGGGGATGGAGGCAGTTAACAAATTAAAGGATTATTCCCACTAAGCAATATTTCAGCTACATGTGAAGTCTGGTGGCTTGAGTCATCTTTGACCTCTTAAGAAGATTTGGAGATAACAGCATTGAAATAATTCCTTAGTTTCATCCTGCCATGCAATCCCACTCCTGGTAAAAGGAAGATTGTTCACCTCTCTTCCCACCTTTCCCATTCTCCATAAAATAAACGAAACCAGTCCTAAAGGAGTAATTGGATACTATCCATATCTGAAGCAGCAGGTGACCAGAGTTAGGCACTCAAGCACAAAGATCTTGCCAGTGGAGTCACTGAGACGTGGCGGCCTAATTCCCATTATTTTTAATTAGGGAACCCAGTAATTGTAGATGTCTCTGACAATCTTTACTGACAACCACTTACTTTTTACATAAGCAGAAAGTTCATATTTTCCTTGTTGCTATGTCCCTCGACATATTGGGTGTGTCATAGCCTGAAACTACCACAATTTGTTACTGTGTTGTTTAATATTTTCTGTCATATTTCAAGGTCTTTTCTTCTGTTAAATTGTACTGAGGACAGGTGATGTTGGGTTTAATCAGCAGAAAAAAATTAAGTGGTAAAAATATTCTGCATAGCTTCTCTAAATGTAACTTTTATTGCATTTCAGATCCTTGCTGCTACCATTGACAACTCCAGGGTTGTCCTGCAGGTGGACAATGCCAGGCTGGCAGCAGATGACTTCAGAACTAAGTAAGTAGGACAGATCTTTTTACTCTAGCTCTCTAATATTTGATGGAGAGTACATTTTCTTGGCCACTTACTGGTTTAAAGATGCTGTTTTAGGCTGAAGAAGGCCTGAAGTGATTTCATTGCTTGGTTAATATAATGTAGGACCAGGGGCGGACTGACAACTCATGGGGCCCCGGGCAATAGGGGATCATGGGGCCCCTGTGTCCTTGCCCAAACTCAAAAAAGCCTATGAAAAAGGTACCAGGGGCATCTCATGGGCCCCCTACTGACCCCGGGCCCTCGGGCAGTGCCCGAGTTTCCAAATGGTCAGTCCGCCCCTGTGTAGGACCACACCAAATGCAAAGGAAGAGTATTTCTACTCACCTGTCCCAGCATGCATTCCTCCAATCTTTTCTCACCTGCAAAGCAATGGCCTCTTTACATTTTCAGGTTGTGTCGAATGGCTAGCCCCCCCTCCTAATCCTCGCAACATCTGAATGGTCTATAAATCACCATATAAATATGGCAGGCTATGCAAATATATGTTTTTTCCTGTGGTAATGGCATTTGTTATGTAAGGTCATTGCCTGTGTAGCTGAAGGTCAAACATAAACTCAAGCCTCCAATTATTCTGCCTTCAGTAATAGTTTCCTTTCAGGAAAAAAAAGTAATAAAGTTGCAATAAATAGTTATTGTTCTACATGAAGGGGTGGGGGCTGTGTAATGTAGCCTTGAGGTTTTATGCAATGCTTGGCAGATTATATCTTTAGCTAAATATTAAACCTTGCCCCAGTATATATACTTCTCAGCTTTAAGAAAGATAAGAAAGTTCTCAAGATAAGAAAGGGGGGCAGCTGTTGGCATACCCAGCCACACTCTTAAGCAGGTCATAGACAGATCAGCCAGTTCAGAAGGAACCGGCCAAGTTTCAATCCGTCTATGGGCAAGCTGGTTGCATTGAAGTTGATTGATGGATCGACTTCAGTACAACCAGCCTGTTGGGTTTTTTCTGATGGCAGGGAAACCTCCCAATAGCACAGCAGCAGGGATTCCCCCATCAACAATGACTGTGTTGATGTTGTAATTGATCAATTTTCTTCCATTCAACCCATGATTGAAGGAAAGAAACCTGGATAATGTATGGCCAGCCTTAGCTTTGTACACAAGCTGAAGAATTCATATGCAAAAAATTATTGGGTAAACCCACAAGTGCTTTTTTTTACTACTGACTTTCAGTTATGCTGGTTATGCTGGCTTATTAAAGAGGTTTTTTTTCGGCCATTTTTTTTTAATTAAAAGCCAGCAACTACAAATACTGTAGCTGCTCAGATATAATAAAGAGACACTTGTCCATGGATGGTTCTATGCAGGTCTATGGTTCCCTGCCGGCACCATGTTAACTGGGGGAAGCTGTCTGTGCCTCCTTGCGGCTTCACAGCTTGCTCCCCACTGTACATGCTTGAGTTGCATTGCTCTGTGCCCTGTAAAAGGCTCTGTGGCCACCTGGGTTCTGTAACATGTCCTATAAGGTTGTGGGCAGCGGAGGGGTTCCAGTAGGATCATCTAGGCCATTCCAAGGGAAGTTGGAGTGGGTACCTGCTAGAAATAGGTACCCGATACCCAACTCCCCCCAAAAAAAATGTGTTAGAGGAGGGTAGGAGGAGGAGCGTCAGCAGAACTTCCATTTTAGGGTGAAGTTCCACTTCAAAATAACAAGCACAAACAATTTGATGAAATACTTAAGGAGGAAAAAGGGAGGAATGGAGTTTTATTTCGAAAGAGGGAAAGTTCCTTCAAATCAGGGTTTCTTGGAAGGTATGTCAGTAGAGCACACAATCGAAGATCCTTATAACTGAATTAAAGTGTTCATGATTTATAGAAAAACTAATTAATATTATAACTATTTATAGAAAAAGCTGCCCATACGCTGAGCAAATTTTGGCTGTCTCCTACTGAACTGGCCAAAACTCGATGAGTTGGTAGCCCTATCTGCACCACTGGAGAGTGCAAAAATCTGGTGCAGTTGTGCATGGTAGCCAATCGGCTTGTTCAATTAAGTTTTGACAAAACAAAAATCTGCAAGCTCAGTTGCACCAGATTTTGCACTTTTCAGATTTTGGAAATGGACCCCACTGTATTCTTATTTCAGGCAGTGTAACGCTAATCATTGTATTTAGGCATGTGATGCACAAAGGAATGCCAGGCAAACAGCACCAATTGTATAGGGTGTGGCTGTGTTCTCTTTATGTGCCACCATCCGTTTAGTTAGCAAAAGTCTATAAAACATGAAGTTATCCTTTATATACAAAATATCCCCTAGCCTGCCTCCCTAGCCCCATTAATACACACAGCTGGCCATCGGCTTCCCCACAGGTCAGTACTTGTCTCCTCTGACAGCTGCAACCTCCCAAGATGTCTGTGGCCTGGTAATAATCCAGTGTAGGGCTACCTGTACACCAGTATCCCATTGAGTAAATGGGAAGCATGGGTATTTCAGTAATAATATTCCATTCAAGTCTATGCATTCTTGCAAACTGAAAAGTCTATAAAAATATTAAGGTATCAATTAGTGTCACTTTACATACAAAATATCTTCTAGCCTACCTCTCCAGCTCCCTTAATACACACAGCCAGCCATCAGCCTCCCTGCAGGTCAGTACTAACTTCCTTGAACAGATGAAACCTCCTGAGACATCTGGAGCCCAATAATCTAGTGTTGGGTTGCCTGCACACCAATTTCCCATAGAAATTAAAAGGATGTACAGGTCTTATCAGGAGCAACGTTTCATTCAAGTCTACTGCATTGGGTTTTTAACCACCTTAGCATTCCGGAAGGCTATAGGAGGAGGTTAGTATAGATCACCGAGTTGTAGGCCTAGTGTTTTAAGGGGGCTAAGAGGTTAGGCTGGGGGGTTTAGCATGTAAAGTGAATGTGTAATTTAAAGTGGAATCTTGGTCACAGGTCAGAACTGAACTGGAGGCAGTATAAATGAGATATGTTGGTAGTTGGGTTGGTAGTCTTCAGTGGAGGTATTTCACCATTCAGGTATCGATCAGAGAGGGATCTGCAGTCGGTGACGTATGCAGAGCATTATACAGGTAGCTATTCCCATTTCAGACCTGCAACTACAGAATTTGGCAGAGGGAAGTCTTCCTGAACCAATTTTCTGTGTCTCTGAGATGTCGGGTACCTGTAGGCCGAGAGTCTCCAAGAAAGCTGATGCTGGAAGATGCAAAAAGCTGTCTATCATTAAGAAAGGTCCTTAAAGCGGGAAAAAAAAATGAAAAAGTCAGTAGCTCCAAAAACTGCAGCTGCTGACTTTTAAAATACAGCCACTTACCCGTCCCTCGGTCCCCTAGCGGTGTCTTCACCATGGCTGGTTTAACCGGCCGTCTTCTCTCCCTGGTGCCAGCATCTTTAGTATGGACACCTGGCTGTGACAGCTTGCGGCTTCACAGGTGGGTGCCCACTGCACATGCGCGAGAAGCTCTGTACTTTTTGAATGGCCCTGTAGTCTTCTGGGACCTGTCGCGTGTCCCAGAAGATTACGGGGAGGTGGGGGGACAACTTCCACTTCTGATTGCCTAGATGAGCGCAGCAGAAGTGGGAGCGGGTACCTGTCAATTTCACCCCAAAGGTGCCAATCTTCAATGGGAAGTGGGGGACAAAGGCTTAAAGCAGAACTTCCCCTTTTTGGTGGAGCTCCGCTTTAAGGAACACATACTTTTGATAATAACCATCAATGAATGATGGCATACTTTGGGGGAGATTTACTAAAACTGGTGCACACACAGAATCTGGTGCAGGTGTGCATAGTAACCAATCGGCTTCAAAATTCAGCTTATTTGGTTAAGCTTTGACAGTAAAACCTGGAAGCTGATTGGTTTCTATGCACGGCTGCACCAGATTCCTCCATTGAACTGTACACTTTCATTATTAGCCTACAGAGGAGGAGCATCAGCAGAACTTCGATTTTAGGGTGAAGTTCCACTTTAAAATAACTAGCACAAAAAAAATTAGATAAAATATTTCAGGCGGAAAAAGGGAGGAATGGAGTTTTATTTCCAAAGAGGGAAAGGAAAGTTCCTTCAAATCAGGAAGCTGATTGGTTTCTATGCACAGCTGCACAGATTCTGTCTGCACCAATTTGAGTAAATCTCCTCCATTGCATTGTACACTTTATTAGCCTACAGAAATCTGTCCCTACTATGAAAGGGCTAGTTGTTTGTGATTTCCCCATTGACTTCTCCATCACATCCAACAACGCCACCATCAAACCCTCCCCGCAGGCCAGAGTACTTGGCCAGAGTCCAATCTTTAACAAACTCGTGCAGACTCCACCTCTGCAACATCGCCAAAATACGCACGTTCCTAACCCCAGAAACCACTAAACAGCTCATCCACTCCCTCATCATATCACGACTCGACTACTGCAACTCCCTCCTCACTGGCCTGCCTCGCCGCTGGTTATCCCCGCTTCAGTCGATCCTGAATACGGCTGCCAGACTCATTCACCTTTCCACCCCCCTCTGCCAATCCCTCCACTGGCTTCCGATTGCGCAACAGATCAAATTCAAAATCCTAACACTGACGTACAAAGCTGTCCACCATACTGGCCCGAACTACATCACTGACCTAATATCCCAAGTACCGCCCAGCACGCACACTCCGCTCCTCACAAGACCTCCTTCTCTCTAGTTCCCTGGTCTCCTCCTCCCATGCTCGCCTCCAGGACTTCTCCAGGGTGTCACCCATCCTCTGGAACTCCCTGCCCCAACCCATCAGATTATCACCTACTCTCCTCTCCTTTAGGCGCACCCTGAAAACCCATCTCTTCAGGGAAGCCTACCCCACCCCCTGCTAACTTGCCGACCTCCTCCACTCTTCCTACCACTCCATCCCCCACAGCTATCTCCTCCTGTGCCACCATTCCCCTCCCTCCTAGATTGTAAGCTCGAAAGAGCAGGGCCCTCAATCCCCTCATGTTTTGCATTGTATTGGTATTGTTCTGTCACATGTTCTGTCCCCCTTTGTAATGTACAGCGCTGAGCGAACTATTGGCGCTTTATAAATACTGTGTAATAATAATAAAATAATAATTTCCCCCAGGCTAAAAATTCCCTGCCCCCCCCCCCCCCCATCTGATCAAATTGTCAAAATCCTATTGAAGAAATTTGTAGCTAGCCTTTCATAAATGATAAGAACTCCCTATAAACTTGAAAGGTTTGAAATGTCAGCTTTGAGTGGACTGACTCACTGGAAAGCTCCTATCACTGGACAATATTGGAATCCTGCAACCTCAATCAAGTAAATGAGTAAGCCGTTACATGGCAACGGGACACAATAATGATAAAACATGCCCTTTGCTTTAAGTGACCCTAACATACCTACATTTCTATTACACAGGCTGTTGGACTAAGGTGCCTAACCATATAGTTACTGCATATCAGTGAATGAAGCTGTGCAGTTCCTTCGCACAGTATATCCCAATGTCAACATTGCCAGTTGAAGCCCAATTCATGTCTGATCTTTTAGGGAGTGTATGAACGCTAATCACACTGTGTACTGTTTCTGAACAATACAACGCGTCCTAGCTGGCCAACCAAGCAGCAGGCATTGTGTGTTCCAGAGATTTTGGCTGCTGTCCTGGTGAGCTGATATGCTCCCTCCGGCCACACCTGAGTACAAGCAAATGAATCAGCAAATAATGTTTCCTGTGTCAATATGGGACTGCATTTACAGTATAATCTGTGGAAGGACACTGTTATTACTGTAAATGAAAATTTTGACCAAGATGTTAACTGTTGAAAGACTTTATAAAACGTACGCTCAGGTATTATAGCAGCTTATAAAAAGGGAAAATTATTTTTGCAGCTTATAAAACTACATAAAATTGATCAATCGTAGACTGAGAACCACATTAGTCTGCTCAATGCACTTTCTACTACTGTACAAAATAATCCCGACATATCGGTTAACAAGAGACCTATTGTCCATTCTATAAGCAATCTTGATCTGGTGCAGTTTTATGTGGAAAAATGATAGCGGAGTGAACATATATCAGAAGACTGAGGCTTGTGAGCACCATTTAGTGAAATGTTCCTACAAAGTAATAGCCAGGGGTTTTTTTTTCAGTGGGAATGCAGTTCCAGCACCTCCAGTACTGAATGTATGTAATGGCAAGGGGTGCTGGAAGGTTTATTGATGTTGGCTGCTGAAGGATCTATTGTCACTGGAGGGGATCTATTTTTGCATGGTGGTCTATTGCTGCTGGGGTCTATCTATTGTTGCTGGTGGGGGGGGTCTATTGTTGCTGGGAGGGATCTACTGTTGAGGGAGGGGTCTAATGTTGCTGGCTGCTGCTGGGAGATCTGTTGCTGCTGCTGGGGGTCTATTGTTGCTGGGGTGGTATTTTATTGCTAGGGGGCTGGCCACAGGGGATCTATTTTACTGCTTTTCTCGTTACCATTAACGCATTTCATATAAATTACATAGCAGCACCACAAAATTATACTTGGCTGTGTATTCTCTATAATGAGCGGTACTGGGAGGTAGGTAGGGTGCAACCAAGGGACGGGGCTCGGAGGTGGGTAGGGGGGCAGAGACAAGGGGTGATTTAGAAGGGGGGAGTTCCTGCACCTATTCTCTGAGAAAAAAAAGCCCTGGTAATAGCTGTAAAACATTAGTCTTTTGACACCAGAACTTCAATCAGTGATTTAACAGCAACCCTTAAAACTTTGAGTCAACTATTGAAATTAAAACCTTATTTTAGTTCCAAATATAACTTAATCATTTCAGTTCCATCTAAGCTTTAGTTGAACATGTGTAAAAAACAGTCAAGACTCATCTTAAAAAAGCTTAATAAATTTATGAAAGTGCGTCTGAAATTCAAATGTTGATCAAGATATGTTACATGATTCTCATCAAAAGTGTCTTCTTTAAGGTATGAGAACGAGCTTGCTCTTCGCCAGAGTGTGGAAGCCGATATCAATGGACTGCGTAGAGTGCTCGATGAGCTAACCTTGGCCAGAACTGACCTGGAGCTCCAGATTGAAAACCTGAAGGAGGAACTGGCCTACCTGAAGAAGAACCATGAGGAGGTAATATTGACCTTGTGTTTTATGTATCAGATCTTTAAATCACATCTCACGCTATATTAACCAGGAATGAGAAACAGAATAAAAAAAAGGAAAAAAAATCTATGTGATATGTGACATATTCTTCAACAAAGTAGTTCTTGTGGCTCAATATTTATCCAGTCATGTCAAGATCATTTAAATATTCATCAAATACAAATCACTATTTTCTGTAGATGATACAAAAGGATCTATGTTGTGAGATTAAGATTCATATCCAAAACCGAGTTTCTTGTCTTCCCCCCAACCCAGACACCACCCCCCATTGACTTCTCCATCACATCCAACAACACCACCATCAAACCCGCCCCGCAGGCCAGAGTACTTGGTGTCATTCTGGACTCCAACCTATCCTTCCAGCCCCAAGTCCAATCTTTAACAAGCTCGTGCAGACTCCACCTCCGCAACATCACCAAAATCCGCACGTTCCTAACCCCAGAAACCACTAAACAGCTCATCCTCTCCCTCATCATATCACGACTCGATTACTGCAACTCCCTCCTTACTGGCCTGCCTCGCCGCTGGCTATCCCCGCTTCAGTCGATCCTGAATACGGCTGCCAGACTCATTCACCTTTCCAACCGCTCCATTTCTGCCACCCCCCTCTGCCAATCCCTCCACTGGCTTCCGATTGCGCAATGGATCAAATTCAAAATCCTAACACTGACGTACAAAGCCGTCCACCATACTGCCCCGAACTACATCACTGACCTAATATCCAAGTACCACCCAACACGCACACTCCGCTCCTCACAAGACCTCCTTCTCTCTAGTTCCCTGGTCTCCTCCTCCCATGCCCACCTCCAGGACTTCTCCAGGGTGTCACCCATCCTCTGGAACTCCCTGCCCCAACCCATCAGATTATCACCTGCTCTCCTCTCCTTTAGGCACACACTGAAAACCCATCTCTTCAGGGAAGCCTACCCCACCACCTGCTAACTTGCCAACCTCCTCCACTCCTCCTACCACCCCATCCCCCACAGCTATCTCCTCCTGTGCCACCATCCCCTCCCTCCTAGATTGTAAGCTCCAAAGAGCAGGGCCCTCGATCCCCTCATGTTTTGCATTGTATTGTTATTGTTCTGTCACATGTTCTGTCCCCCTTTGTAATGTACAGCGCTGAGCGAACTATTGGCGCTTTATAAATACTGTATAATAATAATAATATAAATCAAAATTAATTTTATGCTACATTTGTGTGCACCACAGGCACAATCCATTACCCAAAGGCATTGAAATGGTCTAAATAACATAGGAAGCCATTTCATTCAGGTCTTCAAAGAGAAATTTATCATGGCAGAAAGATTGCTGAAGGATTTGTTGTTTGATGCATTCATGGTTTCAGCGAGTTTCTTTACTCATGTAGGAAATGATGGCATTACGTGGACAAGCTGGTGGACAAGTCAGTGTGGAAGTAGACTCGGCACCAGGTGTAGATCTGACAAAGATTTTGAGTGACATGAGAGAACAGTATGAACATTTGGCAGAGAAGAATCGCAAAGATGCTGAAACCTGGTTCTTCAGCAAGGTAAGGAAATACATTTGACACTTGTTAAGGAGGAAGAACAAATTCTAGCAGTGCAACACGTATTTTACAAATGTCTTCTTTGCTGCTGTAGACCGATGAATTAAACAAGCAAGTCGCCGTACACACAGAACAGATACAGACCAGCAAGACAGAAATCACAGACCTTCGACGCACACTTCAAGGCTTGGAGATAGAGCTACAGTCCCAACTCAGTATGGTAAGTAAATATTGCTTTTTCTTTTTGGCCATTGACAACATATGAAGGTGGAGTGTTACCAAATGGTCATTCTACCAAAATATTTTTGCAACATGCCTGTATCCTATACCCCATGCCATGACTATACCCCATAAGTATGTTTTTCTAGCTTGTGGCCATCTGAAGGCTAAGTAGTATCTAGCCCACCTAACAATTTATTGTCATCAAAGTGGTAGTCGAAGGATGTCTTCAGGGTCTTAGGTGCCTATAAACAATCAACTTCTCTTCCAATCCTTCTGAAATCGCAGATGGCATTTAAAAATCATTCAATGTCTAATACTACCTGTTTACAAGATTTAAAGTCCAACTCCAGCCAAACCTTTTTTTTATTTTCAATATTGGATAGGTCATGTGAGGTTGAGAGCCCTTTTGAGAAGATTTCCCCTCACGTCTTGTCAGGATATGAAGTGATGGGAAATCTCTCCAAGGAAAGTTGCAAATACGATGCTGTGACAGTAGCGTGTTTCTACAAAGGTCAAGTTGCTGTCAAAGATATTTGACTTAGTTGCATATCAGACTGTATTTACGATTTCTTGGAAGCTAACTACCATAAAACAAAAACTTTTGGGGTCTCTCGCTGGTTCCTGAGGTACATTGAAGACTTCTGTATGGCAGCCATGTCCTTGCATGCCTTGGTGTCATCAAGCTTACAATGACACCATTGCTCTAGTGACCTCAAGCTGTTTTTTCGAATCACAGACACCAAACTAATACATTTTTGGTAGCTAACAGTTAGTAGTTTACATATTGGTTTATAGTGTACTTTGTCCTGTCTGTCCATAGAAATCATCCCTTGAAGGAACCCTGGCAGAAACAGAACAGCGGTATGGTGCACAACTGGCACAAATACAGGGATTCATTAGCAGTTTGGAGGCACAACTCAGCGATCTGCGGACAGACATGGAACGTCAGAACTTTGAGTACAAACAGCTCCTAGACATAAAAATACGTCTTGAACAAGAGATTGCCACATATCGCCAGCTCCTTGAAGGACACGATGCACAGTAAGTACTAGGTGTTGTTGGTCTTATCCACTGCTGACTATATAGAATAGCTACTCTTTCCGTTACCCACATAGAGGATATGTAGCCATGTATGCGGTTATCAGTTATGTCTTTAATTTTTAGCATATCCTCTAACAAAATGACTATATTGTGGTTGATTTACTAAAACTAGAGAGTGCAAAATGTGCATAGAATCCAATCAGCTTCCGTTTTTTTGTTTTTTTGTCAAAGCTTAATTGAACAAGCTGCAGTTAGAAGCTGATTGGCTACCATGCACAGGTATATGGTCAGATCCAAATTTGATATTCATATGACAACTGACCTTATAAGCTACATTAGGTACTCTACTTTTGTTGCTCAAACTTTACACAATGGAATTTATATTGCACATTTAGTGCTGTAAAGTTGTCCATTTCATATAGTTGGAATTATTTCCAAATGCAAATTGTGATCCATAACAACCTATCATAATGATTGGTTTTTGGTGCTTGGTCATTATTGCTCCTTGTACTACCCTCTCAGGAAAGCCCTGCCATGTGTCATTTCTGATGCTACCTTCAGGAAGCTTCATATATTGTGTTGCTGCTTTGTTCTGTACTCCCCAGTGTAATATATTATCTTTCCATGAATATTTTAATGACAATGTCTGAGGATTAATCATAGTTCTGGTTATTAAGGCTTAAAGTCAACCTGTGCTTTGCCTTAGGATTTGATGTCACCTCCTGCATCAGCCCATAGTGATCTTATTTTCACGCCTATTCTGCCAGGTGAAAAAATACCTGGTATTAGTTTTTTTTTTATTTGGATGTTGAGGCACCCAGTGCTGTCATATGTGGATTTAGAGAAAGCCTTACACCCTATGTAAGCACCAGCTGAGACTTGGAGCATACATATGGCTTGTACAACTTATTCCTGTGGCCAAAATGGAAGAGCAAAGTAGCAAAAGGAGTGTGAGTATAAACTGCCATGAAAAGCAGGTTTGAAGCAAACTTGTTGCATTGTCCAAAGTAGGCAAAGCACATATTTATTTTACGAGTCTTCAGAAAAGAAGATCAAGATGCAGTGATGTGCCTACCACAACCACCCATGGCCACCATGGCTATGACTAAGGCCCTGCCGGGCTGAAACTCATCGGTGGTTTCCCTGTTTGTTTTGTATTCGTAACTAATATAAAAAGATTTGTGGGTGAGCTTCTAGTGCTGGAAGCCTCTTTTTATCCCACCCATGGCAACCAACCTACGTTTTCTGAATCCGATCAATTACAATTATTTCTGATTGGTGCTCTGATTACGGTACTTTGTACTTCATAGTTGCATTGCAGTTTCATTAAACCCATTTGATTTTAATTGCGCAAGTTCAGTCTTTACTCATGAATACGTTTTATTTCCTACAGGCTGGTGGTGGGCACAACAAAAGACAGTAAGTAAACATCATTATCATATATTTGTCAAGCTTCTTATTGGGCTTTTGGGTGGGACTTCGGTTTCATGTCAAATTAATCTCTGTTGTATAACCTTGCAATAGTTCAGTTTGCTTTGGCAAGCTTGCAGTAAGTTCTAAGAGAGGGTGGTGCTGGAATCATAGAACATACTTGGCTTTTTTTTCATAGGCTTAGATTCAGTGCATGTAAAAAGGTGAATGGTAGCCTTTGGAATTAATTATTGATAAATAAATCAATTACAGATTCACGAGGCTTTTCATAGTACATCTGCTCAGGTTTCAGCTACATGATTCTGTATTGTACCACTTGCTTCTACACAGATGTGCTCAAAACCAAAGAATGCAATGGTCTACGTTTTTAAATATTTAAGGCCATTGCGAAGGTTAGACTACCAGCTGAATTTAGAGTAAAGAGCATTCAACCATGTCAAATGAATTGAGCAGATGACATGTTCAGTGGAAATACAAAAGCTTCGCTTTGGTGCACCTTTAAATATAAACAATGGATGCTTTGAAGGTCTGGATGATAGCCAGGCGTTAACCCCACCATGTAGGCAACGTTTTATGCTTCAGATATGGATTGCTTTTACAAATTTTTGACTAATACATAATTTTTGCCTTCTAGTTAAAATTGAAAGAAAATGAGAATGCCCTATTAACAGTAAGACAGCTACCACATGAGAAGACCCTTCTTTCTTTCCGCACTGATAATGACATAAGCTGGAGCTACATGACAAGGATCTCTTGACTGGACCTGCAGATAATGATGAATGGTCAACATCTGTGCAATGTGAATGAACCAAGAGCTTGCTTTTCTAGTCTTGTTTTTGCTGTCTAATAAATAGAATTTTCTGGGTCAAGCATTACATGAGCTCTGAAGTGTTTTTATTGACATGCAAGTTTATGGTGTTTCCATAAATTGTCCAAATGTGTACTGCATCATGTGCAAAAACTTGCTCTTGTGGTATAAAGCATTCACAAACATACCCAAAATTTAAAGGTTATGTTCACCTCTGGGAACATATTACATATTCCACCTGTTTTTAGGGTGGTACATGTAACAGGTTGCCGATCCTGCAGCCTCCGTCCGACCCCCTCACGTGACAGCAGTATGGGGTAAAGTTCCCTGTACAAGCTGTCACTTTTCAAAAACAGTCTTCTGTGAATGGACTACAGGTCTTGACAGCCTTAGCGTCTGTCGGCTTGTAGTCCTCAATGAATTACCATGGTGCTGTGAGGGCTGTGGGTAGTTAATTGAGTCTTCTTACTAGCAAGTATCGGCTTACCCGTACGGGATGTACGATGAAGCAGATACACTGACCACGTGCAGGAGACCTGCATGGCATCAGAGATCTGCTGATTGCTGCTGCAATGCTTTACAGGCTCCTAACACAAAAAATAATAAATGCACATTTTTTTTTACCTCTGAGTTTTTGTGAAAAAGGTGAACTTATCCTTTAAAACAAATGGTGAACAAATTGAACTTAAAGGATGTCCACCCAAAACAAGTTGATGCTGTAGAGTTAAACCACCTGATCATTTTTTTTCTCTTGGGAGCTCTATTAGTGAGAAATCTGTATTAAGTTCCTCAGTCTGCAAACCTGCTATGGCCGTTATCAGGGATTTCTCTCTGGATATTTTATTACACTATGGAGAATGCAACAGGAGGAAAAGAAACACACAAAGGTGGGTGGGACTACAAAGAACCCCTAGGCGTTGTGTTGGAATGGACTCTTGATCTTTAAATGGAACAAAAGAATAATGCTCAAGATTTTAAATCCAGAAATGTTAAATGAAAACATCAATAGACGCTACTTTTATTAATTTATTTTTGAAAACACAGTCCAAGGTGAATATTATATGACACTCTTGACATTTTGGGTGCTACACACACCAAAACTGGCCATACATGGGTCAGTTTTTTTTTTTGTGCAACCGGTAGGTTGAAAAAACAAAACTGACCCAATTCCGCCATCCACATGTGTCATTGTATTCTGCTTTGTCGCCAGAATACATAGATTGAGCAGATATATACCGGCAGGGTAGTTGAACACAAGTCGCTCGGTAAATTGACTTATTAAGCCACAGTGGCCATACATGGATCAAAATTCGGATGGTCCCTGCTGAACCAGAATTTCAATCCATATATGGCCAGTTTTAGTTATACAGTCAGAACATTGTAGTTTGGAGTGCCATTTCAGTTCACATATCTGAATACATTACAGCTGGGAACAGACTACCTGCAGTACTTCATTGTACATTTGTCCATAGACAGCGATAATTCAATCTCTGTGCAATTTACTATCAACTATGTAGAGTAGGGGCCTGTGTAATCACTCCACTCAATTTATACTAGGGAAAATATTGCACTACATAGTTTTTGGTAAATCCAAGAGGTTTGTACTTCAGACTGCAAGGTGTGTGGTCAGGTTAAAACTCCATGTCAGACATTTTTTTTAAACTAAAATACAAAAAAAAAACTATATTTGGGCTGTACTCAACTTCAGTCTAGAACAGCAATGGGCAATATGGCCCGCGGGCCGTATACGGCCCGGCGGACCTTTTAATCCGGCCCGCGGAGCGTGATACATTGGCTGTCAGGATGTGTGTAGGCGGGGCAGCGTGACGAACGTGAGGGGAGCTAAGCTCCTCTCACAGTCCGCCCTGAAGACCGGAACGGCGCGGGAACACGGCGAGAGGAACGCGCAGAGCAAAGGTAAGTGAATTGACACAGGGGGGACTTGGCTTACTACTTGGGGGGGAATAGTACTATGGGGGATGAATTAATATGGGGAATGAATTACTATAGGGGGGATGAATTACTATAGGGGGGATGAATTACTATATGGGGGATGAATTACTATGGGGGATGAATTACTATATGGGGGATGAATTACTATGGGGGATATGGGGGATGAATTACTATATGGGGGATGAATTACTATATGGGGGATGAATTACTATATGGGGGATGAATTACTATGGGGGATGAATTACTATATGGGGGATTAATTACTATGCTTACTATGGGGGAATATTACTATATTTACTATGGGGGATGACATACATACACATCATTCATCTACTCTTGGTCCGGCCCCCACAGTCCAATATATGAACCCATTGCGGCCCTCAAGTCAAAAAGTTTGCCCACCCCTGGTCTAGAACTATCCCTTGCAGTAGCTTCTTTTCAGCCAACATCATTCAACCCAGAAGCCATTACATCACTGCCACTCTCTGCATTAGCAGAGGACTTCCTTGGAAAGGTGAAAAGGAAGAAGACTCAGTGTGTTGCGTCACCAACCTGAAGACCTCTGAAAAAATAGTATAAAATAAAGAATAAAATACAGTGTAGGTGACCTCCAGAAGGGTGAAGGGGGGCGATTAGACCCCCATCAGAGACTTGCCCCCCATCAGTGATCTCCCCCCATGAGCTGATCTAAATTTATAGGGAGATGCTCAAATGAGCATTCAACTCTGCCCCAATTAGAAGCTGATAAGGCTCACATGAATAGTGGGGGATGTTTCTTAGGAACCAGGCTACAGTCGTAAACCTGAGTGCACCTAGAGGTGAGGACTGGTCAACATATACACAAAAATAAATACACCATTTGTTCAGAATTTAACAGGAGTCAATGCGTTTTTCTGGTTAAGAGCGGAGGTAGGAGATAGATGCAGGTACCCAGAGAAGAACAGCAGGAGTCAATGCGTTTTTCTGGTTAAGAGCGGAGATAGGAGATAGATGCAGGTACCCAGAGAAGAACAGCAGGAGTCAATGCGTTTTTCTGGTTAAGAGCGGAGGTAGGAGATAGATGCAGGTACCCAGAGAAGAAAAGCAGGAGTCAATGCGTTTTTCTGGTTAAGAGCGGAGGTAGGAGATAGATGCAGTTACCCAGAGAAGAACAGCAGGAGTCAATGCGTTTTTCTTGTTATGAGCGGAGGTAGGAGATAGATGCAGTTACCTGTGAAAGTAGAGAAGGCATAATTAAACTGCTGTGTTTAACTGCTTCGCACTCGTTCAAAGCCGCACTCAATCATAAGCAGCACCCCCATCAGAGACTTGCCCCCCATCAGATTAGGAGTTGGGTTTTAGATCAGGTCTAAAAAATCTAGAATGGTATCTAGCTGTTCATATATAATAGCTATATGAAGACAATGACCATTGGTTTCCTCCACTCTTCTTCTGTTGGTGTGAAAAAGGCCAGCAGCTCTAAGTGAGGAAGTCTTGAGCTTTCTCTCCTACACCCCACTAGATTGCGGGGTGCAGACTGTAGGCAGCTGGCAAGTAAGTTCTGCCCATCTAAGGGAGAATTTAAGGGCCAGTAGGTCACCACTGAACCCCCATGCAAAGGGTATTATATGGAGCATTGTTGGCTACAGATACCAAACATACAAATCACACTGACCATCGACGTAAGATGGCATGAAAGCCAACCCGCTAATTCAAAGGGCACTGTAAATAGGTGGTATAAAAAGTGGTCAATGACCACCAATGTAAACAAATCTTTATAAAGACTGCCAATAACCTCCAACAAAAACTCTGTTTGCCATCAGAAAAATTGACTTGGAGTCATTCATTTATGGAGACATTCATTTATGGAGACAAATAATGTGTAGCTACACACCTGATGGGAGAGGCACCTAACTTCTACCACAGTTCATGGGGTTCCTGATTGCATCTCAAGGTCATTTACCTACTTACATTTTACAGTACATATAACTAACCTCAAGTTAAAAATTTTCCCTTACCTGTTTTAGAGGCTTACAAACAAAAAGCCCCATAAAAGTAATAATTTTGCTATTCGTGTTTACATACATGTTAATTTGAATAAACTGTCAAGTTTCAGCCTACATTGCAGAAACCTGATTCCTGGAAATAAAGGGTTGGCCCTTCTTGACAGGTTAATGAGTTCCTAGAGTCATTTTCTACTATCTAAATGTCATTAGCTAATAGCTTGAGAACCTTTAAGCATTTTAGCACTGCCTGCTAGCATTGGCTCTGTTCCACACCTCTAGCCCAGTGTTAATGGACCTTTTTTCAGTCAAGGCACTCTTTAAAATTATGGACAGTCTTAAGGCACCCCATTCTAAAATGGGGTGCCGCAAGACTGTCCATTTTAAAAGGGCACCTCATTCTAAAATGTGAAACTATTCTAATAGTTTTATATAATGTAGCAACATCCAAACACGTAGGACACCCAATATTAGAGGTGATTTATTCTTCCAAAGCAAATACACTTCTGCACACTGGTACCGACTAGTATATTCCAATGTTTCTCTTCATCCTCAGTTTTTATCCATCACTGAGCTAATGTGCCCTCTCCTCCGGCACTTTCCCCTCCCCTCTGAAACATGCACACATCACCCCCATACTTAAAAAGCCCTCCCTGGACCCCAATGACCCGAACAACCTCAGACTCCCTGCTCCCATTTACATCTAAAGTCCTTGAGCGCCTAGTCTACACCCGCCTATGCACTCACCTCAACGACAACAACCTCCTCGATCCCCTACAGTCCGGCTTCCGTCCCCTACACTCCACCTAAACTGCCTTACTCAAACTCTCCAACGACTTGCTAACCGCCAAAGCTAATGGCCACTATTCAGTGCTCCTACTCCTTGACCTCTCTGCGGCCTTCGACACAGT